CCTATTGTTTTGTTGTAGACAAACAAACAAGAAATTTGAGCCAGACTTGGTGGCCCATGCCTTTAATCCTAGCATTCCAGAGGCAGAGGCACATGGATCTCTGAGTTTGTGGCCAACCTTGGATGGTCTACATAGCAAGTTTCAGGACTGTTAGAGAGAGATCCTGTCTCAAAAGAAAAAGAGAGAAAGAGAGAGAGGAAAAAAAACAAAGAAAAGAAAAAAGAAAGAGGGAAAAAGAAAATTTGAATTGCACTGTCAAGAAATAGTCCCTGGTATACTCAGGAAGATATGGTCCCTAGAGATTCTATTCTGTTCATGTGGCTAATTCTGTCTGTTTATCCATCTTTCCCATAAGTGAAAACAGCCTTGGTTGCCACTCTCAAGAAGAAAAATGAAGTGGGAAAGGCTGAAGGCCAACTGGTGATCTCAGAAGTGCACTGTGCACCAGGCCATGGACAGGGTTCTATTGGAGATCACAAAAAGACCAATTCTGCACCATGGGAGGAGGCAAAGAGGGTGATTCAAGAAGGGTGATTCTAAGCTTGATCTCTGAAGGGGAAAAAACTACTTTTGCAATGGAGAGTGGGCGGGAAAGAGAAAGGATAAAGAGGCATTCAAAATAAGAAGAAGCCACTTGCCTCACCCCTAAATAAAAACATGAGAGACAACCCAGATAATGTTGAAGTCCAATGTGACAGGTGCATTGGGCAAGAGTTGAGTGTGAAAAGAACCTAGTCATAAAGGCTTACTGTGCAAGGCAAAGGTGCTTCATCCTGTACTGTGTGTGTGTGTGTGTGTGTGTGTGTGTGTGTAATTATGTGTGTGAGGGGATGTGGTAAGAGAGAGAGGGGAGAAGGGAAAGAGGGAGGAGAAGAAAAGAGAGAACATTAAGAAAAAATGGCAGCAAAGTTTTCCTTTAACATTGCAACTCTAGAAGTTAGAGAAGAAATGTTTGTTCTAAGACATTTATACTTAAAAAGCAGACTTCTGTGTGATTATCTTTTGTGTGGTGCAAGAGACCTGATCCAGTTAATCAAGCTAAATATCACAGAGCTCAATTGTCACTAAGTGGAAAAAAATTTAGAGTAATCATAAGCACATCTTGCCTCACTCCTACCCTCTTGACTCCCAGATATTTGTAAAATAGTAACTCTCTTTTTTTTTTCTTAAAAATTAAATAAGAGCAAAATGTGATGTCAGAGCATAAACATGACGGGAAAGATCTGGACTCCGTCATTAAAAATTTTGGCATTTCCCATAAAACAAGAACATTGATCTTAAATAATCACAATCCAAATTCTCTTCTACTAAGGCTGTTGTGGATAGTATATCCTAAAAGAAAAATGGTTTTTTTTTGAAGTATTGTAATAACCATCCCCAAGTTAAGGAAGTGTGGGACAGGACAGAGAGAGCTCATTTCACTGTACCTGGCCTTGCTGAGCTTGTCAGATACTGCATCTAAACAAATGGAATGTCTGGGATAACTCTGCCTTATGTAACACCAACTGTTCTTCTCCCAACAACACCTAAGCACTTCTCCATCTTTGTCACATTTTGATAATTTTTGCAATATTTTGTAATTTTTCAACTGTTAGGTAATCTTTTGCAATATTTTGTATTTTTTCAGCAGCTATGGTTATTTGTGACCAGTGATCTTGTATGTGTGTGTGTGTGTGTGTATGTGTGTGTGTGTGTGTGTGTGTGTGTACCCACGGAGGCCAGGGTTGTATCCCCTAGGGTTGGAGTTACATGCAGTTGTGAGCCACTGGACTTGTGTGCTGGGATCTGAACTCAGATTCTTTGCAAGAGTAGGAAGTGCTCTAAACTGCTGGGCCATCTTTCCAGCTCCATCAGTGATCTCTGGTATTACCAATGCAATTGTTTCGATTCCCATAAACTCTGCCTATATAAGCCTGAAAATCTACCCTGTAAATATGTATCTCTGTCTGCCCCACCAACTGGCCATCTCCTCATTTCTGTCTCTTCAGGCTTACTTGGTTCCTCCAGATGCAATCAGGCCAGTTAAGAACACATTCTGGGTAATCAAAGAAAAGGAAGAGTCCCTCACTTCAAATCTAAACGTAGGAATGGTGCAGTCTAATGAGGGAGGCATGCCAAAGCACAAGACCAGCAGAAAGCTAGGTCTCTTTCACCACATAGTTAGCCAATCAGCGAATGCAAAGGAATCACTCCGGAGGAAATTGAAAGTGCTACTCCAGTGAACATGCAAATATTAGTGATCTAGACAGAAGCTCAAATGAGCCACATCACCCGCTCTTTGAATGCTGAAGGAGGTGATATGGCTACAGAAGAAAAGTTTCAGAGAAGATCCATCTTTATGACAAAAAAACATAGAAACTAAACTAGAGAATAATGTTATCAAAGATGCAGCATATTCGCCACCAGTTCTAGCTTAGAGTCATTGAAGAGAGGGGCTGCGTGTAACAGCACGAGCCAATGAAGATGAATAGGCTTCCTGTCGGAAAATGGCGTCCTGCAGATCTTACACAGCCACAGAGCAGAAGTCAGGCTCACTCACCAGGGACTAATGCAGCTGCTGGCATTTTGCTATTCTTCTGTTATGAACATTCTAAGACCCTTAAGGATATGAACTCTATTCTGTTTGTGCTCCATAAATGGAACAAGAAAGCTTAACTGACAGCACATCTGTTTACAATATGGTTTACTGGATAGTCTAAGTCCACTGTTGAGATTGCTCAGAAGGAAGCAGGGAAATTTTCTTCTCAAAAGCCACTGCTCACTGACAAGACATCTGGTGAGCCAGGAATCCTACTTGATACGGACAGTGAGAGTAAGGTTGGTTTTTGCCTACAGATGTAGCAGCTATTCTGCAGCCTGTGCGTAAGGAGTATATTTAACTTTTTAGTCTTGTTTAATAAATCCGTTTTGTAATGCTATAACTGCCACACATGATGATTAGAGGTGAATAGAGGTGAGGAATATTGAAAAGCACTCTAGAAAAGACTCACCATTCTAGATCTGTTAAAAAATATTTGTGATTCATGGGAGGAGCTCAGAATATCAACACTAACAGAAGTTTGAAGGAAGTTGATTCTTACCCCTTGACTTTGAAAGGTCCCAGTCTCCGGAGGCAATAACTAGAAATGTACTGGAGACAGAAAAAGAATTAGAATCAGAGTCCAAAGATGTGATTGAACTTTTACACTCTCAGGCAACAGATGACTTGCTTCTTGTGGATAAGCAAAAAAAGTGGTTTCATAATCTACTGCTAAAGATGTTTGGTCATAATTGAAATAACAGCAAAGTACTTTCCCAGGGGTTATACCACCTACAGGGAGTTTGGGCTCTTTCACATCAAAATCATTCATCAGGAAACTGCCCCACAGATATGCCAGATCTGTTTTGTTGCTTAAGAAAGCCAATATTTCTCTTTTTAAGCACTTTGTCACACACACACACACACACACACACAAATACAATTGCACATTTAGATCCACAGCAGACAGCAACGAAACTGAAATGCCACTATTCTTGTACAATATCCACTATGCTGTGGTATTAGGCAGATGAGTAGAAGAATAGTCTAGTGTGGCGGGCGGAAAGAGGCAGTGGGTGGCGGAGTGAAGTGAGAAGGCAGAGATTATGAGGAGGACTTGGTTAGAGGTGACACTGGATGTTCTTCTCTTTTAGTGGGACCAGTCAAGAGACAGTGGCAGATGAGCTGAGACCTGAGCGCAGTGAGGGAGACGGCTGCATTGAGTCTGGCAGGGTACCCCAGCAAGGAGAAAGAGCAAGAGCAAATGCATCCATGCAGTATACTCAAACCTCATCTGACCACACAGAAACGAACACGGAAAAGAAAGAAGAGCGTCCCCAAGAAGCCAGGGCCTCCTAGGATAGTATGAACACTTTAGAAAACATGTCAAGTATGGTAACAGGGAGGAAACTTGAACACACATTTCAAAATGAGTGATGAAGAAGATGAGGATAAGGTGCTAATAATGGCTGTCAGGTCGTGGAGGGAGCGTGTGTTGTGTACTAAGCCCTGTACCTGCATTATCACATGAACCTTGACAGTAATTACTGTAGCTATTTTTGGAGGACAGTTATTAAGCATCTGGTCATGAGTAACTTGTTCATATTCATACACACAGGTAGTTAGTAGCAGACCCAGGTTTTATACAATGCAAATATTGTAAATCCTTTAATACCCTTAATGGAGTATCTCAGTGGAGGTAGTTATGCTTGGCTTTTTGATCATTCATTTAAAGCATTGTAGGTCTCTCATAGATTATACTGTGGCTTACTTTTTTTTCCTGGGTATTTTAAAATTATGAATGTTATTTTCATACATAATGATATCATCTCAAATTAGAATATTTTGTAAAATGCTCAAAATAATACCTCCTTATTAAATAATCCCAGAGCACAGGCTTCAATCTTCATCTTCATCTGTAGATTCAGAAGTGACTCTCTGTGTCTTTAGTTTCCATAGTGATCTTATGTGCTTTCTTTCCAAGTATGTTTACAAAATGTTAATCTGGAAAAATCATCCATTTCCCCAGACTGACAGTGACCTAATAAATGGGAGGGAGGCTGTTCAGTGCAAGGATTTTTATGCTTGATTTTGAATGCCAGCAGGGCTGCTGCAGACACTGCTCTATTATGTTTGGGGGGAGAGAAAACACAATGGCCACAGAGGGTTCATAAAAAGGCCAGCTATAGCTCGAGCAACCACATCTATCAGAACTTTTCCAATTTCTGTTTTTCCTGGTATAATTATTATCATTCTCTTTCACTCTCAAGGGTATCCCAGACAAAACAGAATTATATGCCTACGGTTAGCTATAGCCATGTTCAAAAAGGCAGTGTCATAGAATGACTGCAATCTCCAGGCATGTGATATGAACACAGCCTTGAATTCCTATAATAAAGAAAGGTTGTGGTGGAAGCTATATGATTACACAAGGAATATTATGTAAGAAAATAATTCAATCATAATGATTTCTCCTTCACAGCCAAAAAAGAACATAAAATGGAAGAAAGTCACTTGGAGAATGCACAGAAAAGGTGAGTAGCTATGGTTTGCAATGTTCTTTCTTAGACTAGACAACCTCGATTTTTATTATCATAAAGAATATTTCCCATCACTATGCAACCATCAGTCTCTAGAACTCCATATGAACTCTGAAACTGTAAATCACTAACTCCTCATCTTATCCCTTCCTCCACAAGGCCTGGGCAGCCATTGCTGTACTTCCTACCTCCTTGTGGAGTTTTATGGCATCTGACCTTTTATGACTAATCTCACTGGCACTGTCTTTGAACAGCCAGCCCATTGGTCCTGTCTGTTGAGACATCTCTGGAAAGTGAGCTAGACGTGACCCCTCACCCCGCCATCGTATATGCCATGATCCTGTTCCAGCCACTTGCCTCTCCTTCCAGCTGCTGCTTCTGAACCAGCTCATGGAAGTTAGGAAGAGAACTGACCTTGTTTCAGCATCAAAACTAGGTTATACCAGTTCTGCAAGTAGTTTAGGAGAGTTACTTCAGTTTCTTTGCTCAAATACTAGAGGGTTTTATAGACAAGTGACACAGGGAGAGAACAGTTGCCTTCTGCATACAGGCACTTCTCCAGAAGTCAAAAGAGACCTTATAGTCCTTCCTTTGAGCCTAACCTCCCTTCCTGACTCTGCTTCTCTCAGTAGATACCAGAGTGTAGCCATCACCTCACCTGGCAGAGCCCAAAATCCATCTGTTCTGCTCCCTGGGCCGGGGGGTGGGAGGGGAAGGTTCTCTTCATTTATTCCCCACGCTAATCCCTTGGTTGTGTCTTCCTTCTAGAAGGGAGTATAATGAGGCATTCTCATTCAGGAAAGAAGACTGAGATACATTTGAGGTTAAATATTCCAAAAGTTTCAGATAATGAAATGAGGGCATAGGGGTAGGAAATGGCATCTAAGGAAAAAAATAAGCTTAACAAAAGAGATGGGAAGAATTCCGTAGTTATAAATGTAAGTAAGAACACATGAGCTAGGAACGAGCCCCTTTCCTTCAGTCTAGCCACAATTCTGGAGACGTCTAAAGACCCACAGACAGGTGCCAACATTTAGTCCTATTTCCTGCTGTAATCTGCCAACAAAATTAAGATGCCGATGAAAGCAAGATGAAGGCCAGTCTTGTAGTTTTCTAAGTGTAGACATATTCTTGAATCATGAGCATCCTCCTATCACGATAATTGCTGAAAACTAAGACAATTACACGGTTGTGCTCTTAGACTCTGGCTCCCCTCTGTTGGACTTACCCTATATAACTCTCTCTTTCCCTGGTGTGTAAAATCAGTGTCAGAGACATTCAGCCCTCAGAGAAGAGACTATCAACAGGGGCAGGCTGGTATCAGGCCAAGCAGCAGCTCAGCTTCCGGGGTGTGCATGTCAAGTTTCTAATCCCTTTTCAAGACTTCTGCTGAAGGGCAAGGGGCCCGCCTTTAGCGAGGCCCAGACTGCTGCTGTGCATTAGGCATGCTAAAGAGAGTCATAACTTTTAGTTGTCAGCATTTTCTGTGGCTTTGTGGTGAAGGTAGTCTAGCTTTCATGTCATACTTGAAATATGTTAGATCTCATCTTTAATGTAGAAACCGCGGTTGTTTGCTTGCACTCTTTAAGGAGTTTGTGGTCAGTGTTGCAATATTCGTGTGAGACTTAGTAAATTCTTATGTTTTATTCTCAAGAGAAACAATTTACTCTGAGGCTAAGGGATATTTGCTTTTCCTAAGCAGTTTCCGAAGGCACGCATGAGAAAACAGTGAAGGGGATGTGTCCTGCTCTGGCATCTCCACACTAAGTATACAGCAGTTTGCTTAGCTCCGAGCTAAAAATAAAATGTTTGGCCAAATTAAAAGGATGCAGATCAGATGAAGAAATGTGATGGAGCAGAGTCAGGGACTAGTTTAAAGTGAGATGGAATAAGCTGATATGAAACAACAAAACATACCATTAGGAATTAATCTTTTTAAAAGTTGAATGCTATTTGGGAGTTATGTGTTGAGAACTGAACCTTTGAAAAAGCACGGCACCCCTTGTCTGCACATTGTGGGAGAAAATTACCTCTGACAGTGAAATATAAGTGATTTTTTTTTTTGTCCAAATTTCAAGTTTTGGTGCAGTGTTCCGTGAACCCCAAACTGAATTTTTGTGACGAACATTTTGGCTAGGGAGGGCAGTAGTCTGGACACTATCAGACAATGGTGGGTTCATAGTGTAGCACCGAGGGAGGTTTTTCTTAAATAGAAGGGAAACCCTGGGGTCAAATGGGTGCCTCTTCAGAGTGGCTGTGCCTGTCAGCATCATCAAAGCATACCCCTGGACTCTACCCGGTTCTTCTGAACAGAGCTGCTCGCTGCCTGGGTCCCGAAGACACTTAGGGAAAATGTGCTGAAATCCAGGGTGTCTTTTAATTTTCAACCCCTCCAACAGAGGTAAGCAGGGCCTCCAGTCCCGCCCCCCCCCCAACCCACACACAGCAGGGCCAGAGGCTATGAGGACAGAATTTGGGAAAGAGAAAGCCCCAGGCTACTGCCATATTTGTGATAAACGTCAACAGCACTGTCACCTCTGACTCCGCACCAATTTGCCTAGTGTGTCCAAATATGGACTACGGATAATGCAGAGGTGTTGGGGTGATGGAGGGATCATGGAAATTAGTCATATATGCTCATTACCACATCCTACTATGAATGGGAAGATAATGAATCCTCTAAGTACAAAGTAAAATAATTTCTCTCCTGTGTCCATGGACACATAAATAAACGTGTGTCTGTATAGAAAGGGAGTGTAAGAAAAGAAGAAGAAAAATGGTGGTTTGCTCTCCTGGGTGACCCATTCTCCTGTGTGACACCTGAGGCTAAAGGAGAAACGGGAGGAAGTGACTATTCTGTTTGGTAGTCACCTGGGTCGGTGCCCACGAACAACCAAAGGAGAGAAGAGGGTACACATCTCACAAGGAGTGGGAAACCTGAACGGAGACCCAGCTCCAACAGTGGATGAGGCCATTGAGTCTTCCCAGGCCTCCGTTGTCTCATCAGTAGAATGAGAATATTGGAAGTGTTAACCTGCCCAGCCTCTCTAGTTCCAAACGCAGTAAGAAATCGACACTCTGACTCTATTGGTTGCGTAATTATCTGCATGCCCTCATATTACATTCAACGTAAATTCCATGTTGAGTGAAGTAAGAGTATATGATGGAAAACACTCGTTTGATTTGATCAGTATTTTGACAGCTGTAGACATAGGTGTTATACCTGCAGAGAGAGAGTGGACTTTGCTACCTTCCTCGATTGCTGGGTTTTTCTTCAAAATATGTGCAAAATATTTGGAATTGTCAGCATGTCCTTCAGAGATTACTGCCATCATTGCCTTTCCCCACTTACACACTTCTAGTCTTTTAATAACTAGGGGCCAAATTCCCTGGCCAGTAGTTTTAATTTGCATTAAAAACAGATTTGTTATTTACAGAAGCACACAGAATTTATGGGACCCGAGAGCAGCAGCTCCAGCTTGGATCTCACCTAATCGTAGCCATGGAATCAATTAACAGTTCATCTGCGAAATGTGATAAAATCTTATGAGATACATATTGCCCAATAACTGAGAAAGAGATGAAAGTACGTTTCATAATAGTCACAGGACTTCGTGGTTTTACAGTCGCCACTGAATAGAGTCCCATTAGAAACTTAGTATTCAGGATGGCCACCAAAAAAAAAAAAAAAAGAAAACACCATGCCTGAGCAGATGATAGAGCATTGAGTAATAAACCTGGCTGGCCATTCCTGCTTTGATTAGTTTCCAACACCCTTGAAAGAGGGCTGTTTAAGAGTTCTTGCTTTTTGGCAAATGAGCCTGTGAAGCTTGGGGTGGGTGACAGTGGGGCGGGGGAGACTGACTTCAGAGCTATAAATCGCTGCCAAGCTACTGCCTCCATGAAGGGCTGCTTGGGAGGCCCAGGCGGGCTAGTGTGCAGCGTGCCTTCATGGCGCAGGTCATGGCATTATCTGAGAGTCTGCCTTAGAAACACCTGAGCTCTTTTCTAGCCTGATTGGAGATTGTTTTCCATCCAAACCTTGCTAGGCTCACAGTGATGTCACTTTTTGTATGCTGGTGGTTTATATTCTTGAATCATGGTCACATTTAGAAACGTAGCTCTTATAAAGGCCACACAGTCTAGATTTCTTATTTCACCCTTGAGACAATGAGAATGAGATGCCAAGTGGTGGAGGCAAGAGCCAGAGCATGCCAGACAGGACAGAAAGCATCCTTATTTCCCAAGTTTTCAATTGGCCATCTAACTGACTGCTACTATTTGGATAGTCAATATGTCATAGTCTGACATGTAATCATTAAATACAGAGTAAAGATCAGAAAATTTTACTTGAACTTCAGATGCAGAACAAACTTAGGCTTAAGTTATGTAAGCCCTGGAATTGTGCTGTTCTTCTGTTCACATAGATAAGATGGACCCAGTAGCTTTCCCAATCACGATGAATCTATTGGCAAATCAGTTTAGGCTTCCCAAGGTTTGGGGACACCCCCCCCCCCCAATAACTGTGAGCTGTGACTCCTATGTTAGGGAACAGGCATCTGGGAAGCTGCCCAGTGTCCCTTCTCATCACCCTAACGGGTTTTGGTGTCAACAGTTACTTATCCCCTCCATCCTCCCCACCCCCTTGCAGTTTCGAAACAACAGTGGGATATTTTGGAATGAAGCCAAAGACTGGAGAGAAGGAGATCACCCCCAGCTATGTGTTTATGGTGTGGTTTGAGTTCTGCAGCGACTTCAAGACCATTTGGAAGCGGGAGAGTAAGAACATATCTAAAGAGAGGTAAGGTTGTTGGAGGAAGAGTGGTCCATCTTTGCAAGCATGCTACAAAGTGTGCCTCTTTCACACGTGTCGGTATTTTCTTTTGCATCAAGCCACCATCTAGGAAGTATTCTTGCCTCAGAGTTTCCAGAGAAATTCGGAGAAAACTTGCTGCCCATGGGCAAGACACACTCACATGATCTGATAAGCTCCCTTCTCTTAACCCCTTCCAATTACTAGCTAGTAAATGAAAGGCGAGTTGTGCTAATTTGCAACAGATTGCTTCTCTTGTGTATTTTCACGATTGGCCCAAGCTAAATGAGGCGGCCTTTCTGTGGCAGACGGTACAGACAAATAAAAGTGAATGCTTTCCCCATTAATATACTGCATTTGCATCAAAGGGAAATCTCCCCAGCTCGGGCCACACTTCACACAGCGTTGAAGCCCCACACTGGATTTACAGCGTCACTCCTGACTCCCTGTATCCTGCTGAGGACATCAAACTGTGCCGCTCAGCCGCCCAGCAGCCTCTTGATTTTATTAGTTGGGGGTAAAAGAAAAAAAAAAAAAAAGAGTCAGCTCTGAACATAGGCACCGTGTGTGTGTGTGTGTGTGTGTGTGTGTGTGTGTGTGTGTGTGTGTATGAGAGAGAGACTTTAGCCCTGTTTATCAGAAAGAAAACATTTCTGTTTGACTGTGGTATTAAGGATGCCTTGGTTCCGAAAAAGGTGTCAAGGACTGCAACTTCAAACTGGTCTTCTCTCTAACTCCTGAGGAACAGGTAAGAGACTGTTGTTATTCCAGATGATAGAGAAAGAAACGGAAGGTCCTACAAAGTCAAAGTGAGAAAGACTGTTGAGTTATAGCTTCTATACCGCAGTAAACATTGAGACAGGAAACTCCACAGTTAGTATATTTGTTCTCTAATTTACAAACACTGCACATTCAAGAATATTTATATATGAAGACAGTGCGCACTAACGTATGTTATGCCTTACACTGCTCTTTTTAAGATGAAAATTTAGAGATGTTTTTGGCTCAGTAGTATTAAATCTCTAAATATTTTCTGGAGGATTAAAAAAAAAAAAAGAATCTCCACTCCTATTTTTTTTTTCCTAAAGGAAGTCAAATTTTCTATTTTTGTCTAGGGCCAGGTATGAATAACCCCACTATAGTTCCAGCACTATAGTGGGAGACTAGAGAAGAAATGGACAGCCTAGGACACAAAGTGAGCTCTAGGCAAGCCTGAGGTGCAGCATGAGACCTCATAACAAGAAGGATGGACATCTTCCCAGAGTTACCTCCTCAGGAACAAGAGAATTAAAACCGAGCGCATTCTAGCAAGATGCGGAGGCCCATATCTGTAATCCAAGTCCACAGGAGGCCAAGGCAACAGGGTTGTGAGTTTTGAGGGCAGCCTGTGTTAGTACTGTGAGTACTGTTAGTACTGTGAGTCCATCTGAAAAAGAAAGAAACACATTTTAAATGTTTGAAAGCGGAGAACTCGCGATGCAGATGGAGTGAAGCAGAGACAGACCTCTAGGACAGCGAGGTAACCATGGCTGTCTTTCATGGTGAGCAGAGAGGACTCTGGGTGGTTACAACACTAAGACACAGCCGTTTCAAGTGTTGCCCTGTATAGTGAAGCTACTCCAACTGGATCCTCGTGCCCTGTATGCATAGAGTATGCAAAGAAGGCTTACAACGAGTATGAACATTTAGGAGACATTGTTGAGAAAGTAGCTTGTTGGGAAGAAGAAGAAAAAAAAAATCCTGAAAAACGTACCCCAAACCTGCACTCTCACCCTGGGTAATGTAGTTTAAATTAACTTCCATAGAATAAAAGTCTTTTTGAGACTAGAAGAGCGAAGTTCCTTTTCTTGACCTAATGGTTCTGGTTCATTGCCAGGCCACTCCATCTCTACACCCTCACCAGGCTGCTGGGCACCCTGCGGGGAGTTCTGAACATACAGCCTTTGCTTGGGAATTTTCTACTCAGATTTTGAGGGTAGTTCTTAATGACTTTGTCTCTAAAGCCCTAAAAATGGTCCGAAACCAACCAACCAACCAACCAACCAACAAACAAACAACAACAAAAAAAACCCAGAGAGGGTAATTAATTGCTTTTTCGTTTCAAAAAATCCGTAAAAATCTTGAACTATGTTCCGAACTAAAGTGTACCCTGCCCCCACACTCACAGAAGTTAGACCACACCATCTACGGGTCTGCCGTGGCGGTGCCCAGTCATCTTTCAGAGTGACTTTTCCTCTGATTTCCAGCATGGGCACTCACAGCATTGCTTCCTGGGTACAGAAGGGAAATTGCTTGTTTCACACTCTCTAAACCAGCACCTCCCCGGGGTCATGACTTCCCAAGAGTCTTCATTGATCACTTAGCAGTTTCCAGGGTCTCTTCATTGCAGCCATGCTCTGAAAAGATGGATTACCAGGAAAATGTCAGTCTAAAACATCTCTGGACTTTAAGGATGGTTTCAGAAAGAGTTTTGGAAGCAACATGCTTAGAAAACCATTGAAGACATCTTAGCATGTCCAATTTAATTTAATCAATTAAATTGATTATCAGGATCTTCGTGCAGGTTTTTTTTTTATTTTTTCTTCTTTATGATAAGGAGTTTAGCTTTTAGGCTCTTAGATAGCATATTCATTACTGTAATATAAGCAAATTAACTTAAGTTGACTTTTTATAATGAAATTAGAAATAATATGTTTGCTTTGTCTTGACACTTATTTAATGATATTTTTTTATTACAGTTTTTCCAGAAACACATTAAATGTCTGTAACACTATATAACCATGTGGCAATATAACATCATTCACAAGAGTTCTTCAAAGGCATTCTAAAAAACAAAAACCATAGCCAAATGAAAGTTTGATATCATAAAACTATTTGGGGGGTGGGGAAGGGTGGGAGGGAATTGTGGTTTGGGATCTCATCACAAGAAATTGAGATCACTTGATTTTTAAATGTGTCTGAAAGCCAACTGAAACTCAAGAAGTTATGGGAAAAGATTAATCAGTAATAGTATTTACAAAGAGAAAGACCCAAAGGTAAATGTTGTTTGTTTAAACCCTACTTCCAAATGAAATGAAAGCATTAGACGACTTTAAGGCACTTGAGGTTAATTTTAGGTAACAGAATATTTACTTATTTTCCTGCTTAGTGCAGTTTTCATGAATATGCATTAGACTAGGATAACACTGAGGCCTATGTGCTTCCATAGCAAACCAGCAACTCTCCCTCGTAAAGCTAGATCACTCTCTAAATGTTGTGTTAAAATGTTCAGTGTTGTTATGCCATTAAACCAGTAAGCCCTGTGGCTAAGAGAGAGCAGTTCCCAGGGACATGGTTTATCCTCATATTAGCTGTGTCATTAGAAACACAATTTACTACATGGTAGTGTATTAATGGATTTAAATTTTCTTTGATCCTTAAGCCAGTATTAGTCAAAAGAGCACATATCCGAAAGGTCCCTTCTCTGTGGTTTTGTGGTCCCCAGTGGTGACACTCATTTCCCCAGTGAAGCCTACTGGTTCCTTCTCCTATCCCTTCAGAGCACAGACAAGTGTGCAGTAGTGTGAAAGGACCTCTACACGAAGGTTGGATCTCAAAGTCTCCTTCCCCTTGGCTCTGTCAACAATAGGTTGCTGTGCAGCATTAGGCTGGATGCTCACTGCATAGGGAACCAATAAAGTGTGAGTATTGGGATGAGGGAGGAGCTAAGGGGTAACTGTGATCTCATCTAGCTTGAAATAATTATGATTCCGGAAAATGACTTTTCTGGTATTCTAAGACCAGTGCAATTTTGAGATGACAGTCCTCACTGTTGGTTGAGGTTACTAAGGATGATATTGGAAATTGTTCCAAACCAAGATCTGATACATGATCTGGAACAAGATTTTGGGTAATTGCCCTCTAGCCTTTGCCAAATGTCTACAAAATCACTTCCAGTTTTGTTGCTGTTGACAAAATTCTAATGTTCATCTTGAAGGCCTCATTTTTTTCTTTTAAATCAAGAATGTAGACACAGAAGTTTTCTGCGATAATGCCCCTGCCTCCTCATGTTTGATGGAATGTTATAGTTCACCAGGACTGTATTTCATACTCAGTGTCAGTTGCATTGGTTTTACCTTCTCATACACTTTTGCATCTAAAACTCTTAACATTCAAACAATTCATGGCTTTTTGGTAATGCTCTTTTCCACCTATAAATCCAAATATATCCAATATCACATGCATAACAACTGCAAGAAAGGCAACCTAGAATTTTTACTACTGCCTCTATAACCTGTTCTCCACTCATTTTCTGCATTTCTTTTGATTGTTTAATTTTGTTTAATTTTCTGGTGGATCCTTGCTTCTAAAACATTTCACCAGTTAGGGTATCTTCAGGCCTGCCCCACTTATGCTCACACATGCACACAAACCACACAGTGAATTATGACTTGGCAGAAGGTGAAGATGACCCAGGGGAGCCAGGACCCCAGGAATAAAGTCCCTACAAATGCTTCACCCTGAGCCAAGGCAAGCTTTAAAAATGCCATTACAAAACAAAAACAAACAAACAACAACAATAACAACAACAACAAAAAAAAAACCAGTGAGGAGTGAACAAGAAGTTTTCTAATTTCATTGGCAATGCAACTAAGAAATTTCATTACATGCATAGCTATAGTTTATACCATGGGAGAATAGAGAGTTACCCTGTTTTCTTAGTTCTGGCTGACAAGCAACAAGGTTTTGTTTTGATTGTATCCCTTGAAGCTATTATGGTTCGTTATGCAACTGCCACAGCCTTGACAACAGATAGATCCAGGCTGGTTTAGGTGACCCCGAAGGCTGGTCCCAGAGCTCCCTGTTGGTCGTGTTGCTGTAAGACTTAACAAGATCACTCCTCCACCTTCTTAAGACCCAGAGACTGTAGTGCAACACAGTGCAACATATTTTTACATGACAACGTTTTCCCTGGCAAAAGCTCAGTTAACCAAAATTGTTATTTATTT